GCTCCCGGCGGTGGTCCCGGCAGACAGGACCCTGGGGACCACAGGAAGGGAAACTGAGGCCCCAAGGGTCTGAGGTTCAGCGAGGCTCCCCGGGCAGGTGTGAGCAGAACTGGGACTCCAGGCCGGCGCCGGCCTTCCAGTCCGGGGGGGCGGCAGAGACCGGGGCTGTGGAGACCCCGCAGGACTGCCTGCACGCGTGCGGCCTGGCGGGGACGGGTGGGTCCCACACTGAAGGCCACTGTCTGTCACTTCGAAGGCCCTTTCTTTGTCCTGTGTCCCGACCACCACGTGAGAGTGACCACCAGCCCCCGGGGCGCAGGCCCGCAGCCCCCGAGGCGAGCCGCGGGGGTCCCCCATGGAGACGCAGCCCCGGCAGCGGACTCTAAGGCGCCCAGCCCCGGCACGTGCTCCCAGGACACGGCAGCGGTGGCCGCTCCGGAACCTCTGATTCCATTTCATCAGTAGGTACCGACCTTTGTGTCTCCGCTTCCGGCCGGTCCCGTCCTGTGTGTCGTCAGGCCTCCTGGAGCCCCCACCGCGCCCCCCGCCCCCAGGCGCTGGTCCAGCCTCAGCCAGAGGGGCTGGACGGTGCTCCAGGCAGACCCGGTCCTGACCCTGTCTGTTGCTTCCGGTGTGTGGCCGTGACAGTGAGCCCAGCTCTGGGCCTCAGGGCTGCGAGCTGCCCGGGGACGCTGACATTCCCTGGCAGGGCTGGCATTCGATGGCACCAGGCTGTGCAGCGTGGAGCTCTTGCTTTGTGTTCTAGCTCGTTCTGAAAAGCTTTTGAGGGAGCCAGCTGCCTACCGTGCACCCGTAGGAAGGAGGCATGTGGAAATCTGTACAAATGAAAACCAAGGCAGAGGAAGCTTGGGTAGCATGCCAGTTCTTGCTCAGGAGCTGAGTGTGGGGCGTTAACTTGGCTTGGAGCTTCCTGGCAGCCAAAGCAAAGAGAGAAAGTCGATGACCTGATGTTTAGAATCTGTGAAGTAATTGGCAATGGCTTGGCTGCTGCCCTGGGCTAATGGAGGGAGGTTTCTCAGGAGGCCAGCCGGAGGACGGGCAGGTGACTCCCTGCAGGCACGGCCACATGCCGAGGTCTGAGGCTGCCCACCTGGGCAGGTGTGTGTGTGCCTGTATGTGCATAGTGGTGGCAATTGGTGAAATTTGCTTGCGTCCCTGGGGGCTGCTGACTTATCCCATCTACGCATCGTCCACTCGCCTCACATCTGAAATCCTCTCTTGTCTCCCTCCAGGTGGGCCCTCAGGGTCGCTTGGGACCCCATCGACGACTCCGTGAGCGGCCCTGTGACGTCAGACGTTCCGCTGATGGGTAAATGCTTTCGCTGGCCTTTCTCCCCTGGGAATGGCATGGGCAAGGAGGGGCAGGCACCCGCATTCTGGAAGCTTCTGTGCTCGCCCTGAATCCTCCCCAAGCCAGAGGGGGTAGCTAGAATCCCCTGCAGCTCATGCTGCGACAACGAAGCTCAGAGAGGTCCACCGGCTGGCCCGGATTTTGTCGCACGGGGTGCGGGGAAGCCGGGCCGCGTCCCCGTCGCTGCCTCCGGGGAGCCCCCAGGGTCCCATTCACAGAGCACCCATCAAGCACTGCTTTCTCTCCAGCCGCACTTGAGACACCTCAGAGGGCCCTGGGACGGGTGGGCTAGGCTCCCGCTGATGTTGCCGTGTGAGCTCATGAGGGTCTGGAGGCTTAGTGCTGGGTCTTCTCCCGAAAGGCCAGAGTGGGGCTCTGACTTGGGCTCCTGGTCCAGTGCTCTCTGCTCTGCCCCAAGCTGGCAGGGCCCTGTATACCTGTGAAGTGGCTGCGAGGCCCCGAGGGAGAGCCTGGGCCAGCCCGGGGCTGACGGCCCTGGGCCAAGTTAGTCAATGTCTCTGGGCCTCAGTTTCCCATGCTCGCTGTGCGGAGGAAGCGCCCCCTCCGGGGGCCCCTAGATGTCCAGCCCCTTGGGTGCAGCGGCCACACTTCGCGGCAACCCTGACCAGCTGTTCTTGGACAAGAGCCCCGGGCTGCGCCCCCAGCACTGACTTCGTGGCCTCCTTTCCGCAGCGGTGGGCCTGGCCTCAGCAGTGGCAGACTACCAGGGCTCCGGGCCTGAAGAGCTGACCTTCCGAGGCGGTGACGTCATCGAGGTCCTGGGCGCCCGGGTGCCCGGCCTGCCCTGGTGCCTGGGCCGGCACACGGCCTCGGGCCAGGTCGGGTTTGTGCGCACGAGTGACATCAGTGTGCAGGGCCAAGTGTCTGAGTGAGTGGCTGAGGCCCTGCCCTCTCCCGAGCCCGCTCCCCTACCCCCGGGGGCAGCCTGGTGACACACGTGGACGAGGTCCCGGATGGCACCCCTGACCCTCCCCCTCGCCACCGCCCGGGCGCCTGTTCCCTTGTCCCCAGGGCTGGCGTCAGCCTCCTACCTGGACCCCTCGTGTCCCTCCTCCAAGTGCAGCCCGGGGCTGTTCTCTGAACTACACGGCATCCCACACGGGGGGCTTAGCTCAGCAGGTGGAGATTCCGTCCCAGCCCACAGGGCCAGGAGTCCAGAGTCAAGGTGCCACAGGGCCCCACTTTCTCTGGAGGCGCCCTCCTTACAGCTCCTGGTGGCCACGTCACCCCCGTCTCTGCCTCCGTCTTCCCACGGCCTCCTCACCCCAGCACGTGTCTCCGAGCCTCGTCCTATAAGGACACCAGTCTCTGGATTAGGGCCCACCCTACCTCAGTGTGACCCCCACCTCAACTGGTTATATCTGCAAAGACCCTTCATTGAATAAATCACCTCCCGAGGTCCTAGGTGGACATGAATTTTGAGGGACACTATTCACCCCCATACACCTTGCCACTCCCTTTTCTTTTGTTTTCTCTTCTTTTCTTTTCTTCATGTTTAAATTTGAGAGAGAAAGAGACAGAGTGTGAGCAGGGGAGGGGCAGAGAGAGGGAGACACAGAATCTGAAACAGGCTCCAGGCTCCGAGCTGTCGGCACAGAGCCCGACGCGGGGCTCGAACTCACAAACCGTGAGATCACGACCTGAGCCGAAGTCAGGTGCTCGAGATTCTAGGCCTGGCCTTCAAGGCCCCCCCACGACACAGACCCCGGGGACCGCCGATGTCAAAGGCTGCCCCTTGCCGTCAGGCCCCTTCCGGAACGAGTCTGCTTTGACACGTGTGCCCCTACGTGAGACACCCCCTCCATCCCTGCCCTCCAGTTTTCCTGGGGCTCTCACTGGCCCCCAGGCCCCGTCTCCGACGGCTCATCCCTGGGGACCTGCTCCTCTCCCTGTGGGACCCCCCCACACCCTGCTGGTGACATGCCCGCCCCTGCCCTTCTGAGAATTCTGAGTGTCCCCACGGTGCGGCCCTGGGCAGCAGCAGGGGTGTCCTTGGGGGAGCGGTCAGTGGGCACAGCTGTGCCCATCCTTGGGTGGAAATTCCGTTCCCCTGGGCTTGAAGCATCATTGTCAAGACCTCAGTCGTGAGCCCAGAGAAGGTGGGCGTAGGGACAGGGCCTTTACTGGGTCTGGACCTGGCCTCCCACGCCCGTCTTCAGGGGTCCTCTGGCCCTGACGTCCCGCGGCCTGGGCAGGAAGCCTGGAAAAGCCCCGCGGACGCCCTCGTTCGCTCCACAAACGTCGACTGCACATCTTCCCTGTTCCAGACCCTGGGTTTTCATCCTTTGTTTAATGAACCACCTCCTGGTGCCTCTGTTCTTTTCCTTTAGTTTGGCAAAATTTCAGATTTAGGGAGGTTGCAAGACGAGTGTCAGATTCCCGTAATCCCTTCCCCCCGGTCACCCAAGGGTTGGCACGTTGTCACATTCGTCTTCCGCTTTTCCTTCTCGTACTGACGCCGTCGGGCGTGGGTTGTAAGCAGGACACCCCTTTCCCGGCGAGTGGCGCGGCGCGTGTCTCCTAAGGCCAGGACGCCCGCCTGGGCACCGCCGCGCGCCCTTCGGGATCGGGACGGTGATGGAACAGCGCCCTGCAGGTGCAGGCCACACTCGGGGTCTGCCAGCGTCCCGGTCGTGTCCCGGACAACCAGAGAAAGTTCCAGGCCTCGTGCCACCAGCCTCTCCTCCCTCGTCTCGCGGTCCTTTAGGACACTGACGTTTTTGAGGCACACGGGCCTGTTGTTCTGTTGAATGTACCAGAAGCTACTCTGAGATTTTCTTTTTAACGTCTCAAAATAGCTCCTTCCAGTTTCCAGGCGCATTTCAGAGTTTCGCGTAACGCTGGTGATTTCGTCCCACGAGCGAAAAATGCCTGTTCCTTCTCTCCCTTCTCCCCTTCCCGTTTTTCATCTCCCTGACTTGGCGGGGACAGGAGCGCCCCATTTCTGTGCTGGGCGTCGTGGGGAGCCCGGGAGTTCGCGATGCGAAGGGGTCGACCCGTACATCCACACGTGCACACGCACACATTTGTAACACACACTTGTGCACACACACGTACGTGCGATACGTACATTCTGCCTGCAGCCGTCACCACCCGCCTCACAGGGGAAGGGGCACTTGAAGCGGGGCTTTGGAGGCTGCCCAGGAGCTCACCTTCCCCGGCTGCCACGACCCGCCGTGTCTGTAGCAGCCTCTCCCGCTCCTGGCCATCTGCCTGCAGCTGGACCAGACGGGCCTTGTGGGCCGGATCTATTTTGTTTCTGTCCCGGTGACCTGGCCGCCGGGCACAGAGCAGGTGTGACGGGGGTGTCTGTCACACCAGAGGGTAGATGGGGGTCTTGGGCAGGAAACGTGCTGTTGTAAATAAAGCACCTTCTTTTCTCCAGGTTGGAAGACGTGATTTTTCTCGATGAGGAAGAAAAGTCGTTCTTCAGCAACGAAGGGCGCTTCTCGGACGAGGACGCCAGGCAGTTGCTGAGGAGGATGTCCGGTGCGGACACGTGCACCGTGTACAGCTTGGGTAGGTGTGAGGGCGCCGCGGGGGCGGGGGGGGCACGGCTCCTCCCTCCCCTCCCCCTGGCCACGGGGACGTCGCAGGACCTGCATCAGACCCTGGGTGCTTAGGACGGTTTCTGGGGGCAGGTTCCCAGAAGGACAAGAGGGTTTGCAGCTGAACCGGGAGACCCCGAGACCCAGCCGGCCGGCACCGGGCCTGCTCGGGCTCCTGTCCCCTCCGCGGAGCGCGGACTGTTCTGGCTTCCGTGCTCCGCTCAGGACGCCCCTCCCCGTGTCCCTTCAAGAAGGCCCGCCCCGGGGCACCTAAAGGTGACCGCACAGGTGCTGCTGCTGCCTGAGGGGCCCGTAGGGACGGCAGCGGGCCAGGGGCAGAGAGGGGGACAGGGCGAGCGGCAGGGAGATGCCCGCAGTGGCCGCGAGGCGTGCCCGCCGGGCACCGGGGCCGGCCCGCTGCCCACGAGCTGCTGCTCCGCCAGTCTGGGTGACAGTGACCGCCCTCCGTGACAGGACCAGGAGCCCGGGCTCGCGTGGCTGTGGGCTGGCCTGGTTGCCTGACCACCAGGGACCGGGGCCGGACCCCAGGGCCACCAGCCCCTAAAGACGGTGCTGCTCCCTCTCCCCACGCTGCCCTGCGCTCAGGAAGGACCCTCTGTCGGCTGCCATGCGGGGGGGAGAGCCGTGTCATCGGCAACAGAGGCGACAGAGGAACAGACCCGCTGGGGGACTGCCTGGGGCCGGGGGTGCAATCTAGCCGGTTCCTTCATCCTGTGCACGGAGGTGAATGCGCGTGCACACACACGCTTACACACACGCACAGTATACACATGTGCACACGCACTTACACATACGTGCGGCATGTGTGTGCACGCTTACAATACATGCAGCACACTCATTTGAAGCACACGTGCACACACTTACACACGTGCACACACGTGCACACTCAAATAAGGCAGCACACACATGCATGCACACACATCCACATGCACATACACCTACACATCCATGCACACACACGAGCACAGTTACACGTATGTGCACGCACACACACACTCCTCACGGCCCTGGAGCAGACATGACTTGCACATCGGGAACTTTTCCACCAGTAACAGGGTTAAACTTTCCAGGTCCCACAAATTGGTCTCTCTTCCTAAACAGGCAAACTTAAATTTGACCATAGCACCTATGTCAGCCCCGCACTCGGGGGGACATTCTGGGGGCCCCCTTCCGCCAGGCACCCCTTAGCTTCCCGGACCCTGTGCATTTGTCAGAGTTGACATCACACTTCACACGTCTTTTCCCAGCAAATTAGCGTCAGCCCATTTTCAGGAGGTGGAAACTGAGGCTTAGGGAAGGGCTCGGCCTCTTGACCAGGGGATCCCCCCAGCCCTGCAGCCCCTCAGGTCACTGGAATGTTTCTGTCCTGGTGTCCCCACCCATCCCGACATGGCCCCGACCTGGAGGTGCTGGCCGGAGGGTGATGCCTCTGTTCTCTCCCTTCTCAGACAGATTAGAAGAGACCGACTTTGAGCCGCCAGAAGAACAAGGTGGGTTCTCCCCACACGGCAGCGTCCCTCCGGGCAAGGGGCTGGGCCCGGGGGTATGACACCCGGCAGAAACCACAGAGCTGCGTGCGGATGGGGCTCTGCGCGGGGACCTCACACCTCCGTCGGGGAAGGCGGGAGGGGGTCCGTCCTGCAGGGGGAGGGGATGAGGTGAGGGCAAAGCTCCCCCCTGCTGTGGTAGTGGTCCCTGCCAACACACCAGCCCTCCAGCTAAGGGGGGGGGGTCCCCTCCACTGCCCGGGCCGTGGCTGTCCCCACTCTGTCCCCAGCTAAGGTGGGGGTCCTGGGCCTGTACTTGGCCATGGGTTCTTTTCTTGAAACCTAGAGCATCTGAAACTCTTGGCTTTGAGAAAGTGAAATGCTGGGTTTGGAGGGCGAAGGGGGTGCTGGATTTGGAGTCTCACGCTAGAGAAGCCCCTCAAAGATTTGCTTCTTCCCCTGGGAGCTGGTAAGGGAGACCCCCTCCTTCTCCCTCCACACCTCCATCTTGACCCCCCCACAGAAGGTCTGCATCGGGGAGAACCTGGGGACTTGAATGCCCGAGGACCCTTTGGGGTCCACCTAAGCGCAAACGGGGAAGGGCCACTTGGGGTACTCGATGGGGAGGCTCAGGACATCCGGGGCCATTCCGGGCCCTCCGTCCAGCCCGGGCCTCTGCTGGGTGAGGAGGGCAGGACTCGCCGGGATGGGAGGGGGTGGGGGCAACGAGGTTGGGGGGACGCATTTGCACCTACATGTCGGATTAGTCAGGTCAGACGTTTGCTGCTGGACCACAGTGAATTCTTTTTTATTCCCCGACTTTACGGACGAATAAAGAGAGCGTTAGTTTTGAACATATTTTTTATGTGAACTCGAAACAGAAGAGCCTTTAGATTCTGTTTCTTTCCTTGCAAACAAATTCCCCTTTAAGCTCGTGTTTTTCCAGCAGGAAGCGTAGCTGTTTGCTCGTTGGCTGTGTCTTTGGGTACTGACCCATCCAAAGCCAACAGCCCCGCACACGGGCACTTTTGGGTACGGGTGCCCCCAGGTTCTCCAGCGCCTCATCCCTTTCCTTCTTAACCCTTTAGTAACTGTGGGCCTCAGATTCTCGAAGCAGCCAGGGTGAAGGTGGAGACCCAGGGGGTCCTCGCTGATGTGGTCCCGGGAGAGAGCTGGACCAGGGACCCAAACATTGTCCTCCATCGAGGCGGGTTTCATCAGTTCTGGGGGTGGCTTCTGAGCACGTGCTGCCCCATAGCTCTGGTTGGCCCATGATGATTTCACGGGAGTCCTGCACCCGACGGGAGACCCCCAAGTGCTGAGGAAATCCCACGGAGGCGGGGGCAGCCAGGAATGTGGACGTGTCCATCTGTTAAGTGGCTTTTCCTGGAGGGGAAAGGACGCTGATCGCTGAGCGGTGCTCTCAAACAGGAAGCATCAGAAGGGGTTACTCGGCAAAAAGCTCGGCCAGATCGATCCCTATTCTCATAACCATGACCGAGTCCCCACCGGGTGCTAGGCGCTGGGCTCGGCATTGCGCGTAAATCTTGGGCTTCAGGTAGGGGAGGCTCGGGCAGCAGCCGACAGGGGTGCCGAGGCTCGGAGGGATGTCTGTCCCTTACCCCGGCCTAGGCCCAGATTGGCCTCTCATCCACCCCGGGGGTTTTGGTGATTTGCAGAATCACCTCACCTGGACCCAGAGCCACACGAGACCCTACAGAAGGTGAAGAACGTTCTGGAAGAATTCAAATCCCGCCAGGACTGCCCCGAGGAGCCAGAGTCCTGGGGTCTCTGCG